AACCACATGGCTGATTGCAAGAAATTTGCACTGTACAACTTGGAGACGCTGAGACTGTCAGTCTGCTGCTGCCGGACACGATAGACTAGGTGACGGTTTGTCACCATCGCAAAAGTGCAAGAAGTGGGATGTGTTTTCCAAACTGACTTGTCCTGAGCAGTATCACGGGGATCTTTTGTAACAGCTCCTCCCATTTGTAACAGCTCTCCCGTTTGTAACAGCTCTCCCGTTTGAGAAAGTGGCTAAGAGGTAATCAATCACTCCCAGCTGAATGCAGGGAACTGGGGACCCATATTCATCATTAATGTAAAATCTCACACTCTTATTCTCTTCAGACTAAGCTAAGCAGACAAAGTTGCTGCGGATTGTGTTAGAATAGCTACTGAAAAGCTTAATTCCATATTTATATCAGTCCAAAACCTTGCAGTTAATTTGAAAGTGACAGGCTTACTTTTCTGATATTTTGCAGGATTAAAAAAAAGCCCATGCATGCACATTTCAATGTTTATCCTATTACATGTGGACAATAGATTAAGTAATGATTCATGGAAGGATTAAGGGCCTTTCCCATTTTCCAAGCAGTGGTGACCATCCTGTGCTGCATCGTACTTGCTGAATGAGACATCCATGCTTGTTTTATATTTTGAAAAAGTTCCAAGGCACTAAATTCCCTGCAGACGCAAGAGAGCTCATCAGCAGCTGTGGCCAGATATGTGTGGTGCTTCCAAATAATGGTTTGACCTTCAAAGCAGGTCCTTCCTGAGCCACCCTCCATGCAGGATGAAGCAGAGGGCGGCCCGTAGACATTGTTCGATGTCCCACTCCAAAAATAAAGGGAAAAAGATGGATGTCCTGAGCAAGGCCACACTGAGGTCTTACTTGGTGTGGTCAATAAAACAGAATAACGTCATGCTGACGGTCAGACATCTCGGTCTGAATTTTAAAATTGAAGTAATGCTCCTTTAAAAATCGTGAGCGAGCGCAAATCGCAGAAAAAGTTTCATGTGATGAGAGCACGTTTACTGGCCAATCAGGTAGCGTTAATCTCATGAATATTAATGAGTTTTTCCCGAACCACCCTATAAAAACAAACCTCATGGGCGGGAAAATGATCTTCAGCTTCAGAGCAGCGAAGCCAGGTGCGGTTACAGGCATGTGTGAGGACATGTGTTCTCAATCCTTGCAGAAACCGCCTTTTGTTTGTGCTTGTGATCAGCAACAATGGTTAATAGTTAATGAGTGTTTTTGCAAATGTGTTAAATTATGTCCTACATATGATATTTAAACATAAATCCCCCCTACCCCAAAATGACCTGTGCTATGTGATGGACAGCTTGACTAGGAGTAATTCCGTTCTGGTATATGATGTCGTTTAAATAGGCCTATGTCATTAAGGTAGCCTACAGTATATCAATGGTTATCTGGGTACATTAATCAGAAGATAAAAAGGGGGTGCGTCCCGTTAAGGAGACGGTTCACCGACAGGCACTATTTGGATCACTACGATAATCGGTAAAATCTTTCGTTATGGTCAGTTAACCACGTGTTGGCAGACAGGAGGCAGCCTCGTCCCATGGTGCCCCCCTGCGCTTCCTGGAAGCTTATAGGTTTTCATTTTTAATATTTTCTGGAAAAAGCAGCCCGGTCAGCCTTCCTTATTGTCAGAAACAGGGACATTGGGGCACAGGGTGGCACTTGCCCCAGCTGAAATCGGATCGGCCCCCTGGGTGCCCCGTCTCCATTTTTATTGTCTTTGGATGTCTAGATGGTATCGATTAGACCCGTGGAGACATTTTCCCCAAACTCACTATGTGATATGTCTGTAGTTTTATTTGTTCCCAGAAGTACATGAATATACAGTACATGAGTACTAGCGGTTTCATGTGTGTAAGGATGGTGGTTCTGTGGATATGGGCAGGTCGGTTATAAGCTGACGTCATTGTCCAAAGTACACATACATGAGATCAAGGCGGTAGCATTTTGTTTTAAGAAAATTTTTCTTTGTATACCTTTGGTTTGTAAAAATCAAGGCAAAGAAACCGAAGGATTACCGCAAAGGCAGTGGAAAGATGGTTAAAAGCAATCAATCGAAAGGACGGTACTGTCAGGAAGTGGCATGTTGTGTGTTCTGAGCGTTTCCTTACAGGCAGAGGTGGACAGTATTTCAATTAAAAATATTTTAAAATATATATTTATTTACTTTTGCTTAATTTGTATTTTGCTGGATGGAAAAAAAAATCAGATGTACTATGCAGCAAAGTAGGCTAACTTTGAAAAGTTGTATTTTATGCATTTAAAACATTTAAAATACTTCATAAAATGTAATTTTAAGATCCTTCATCACCAGGCTTACAGACTTTTAAATATAGCTTATCACCATCTTTGGCAGTAATGAAAAGGAAGAAGCTGCCGTTGAGATTGGTGCAAACTGTCTTGATGTAAAGGATGTAGTAAAATTGGCTTATATTGTTGACTGAATGCCAGTATAGCACAGGAAAATAGAGCGATTAGGAAACAGCAGTGCTGTGCTGTAGAACTTAAACTTGATAGTCTGCTAGTGGCATTAATTCTAGTTAATTTCAACAGACATGCTCAGACAGTGGCATCTTGTGCTTTGTCATGTACAGTATGGAAGCCTTCTTTAGCGATAAATCTGACTAGCTACTTTTGTTCCAAAGGACAAAAATAAATTTGTATCAGCTAAACGTAGGAGTTTTGCAGCCACTGTGCCGGTGTAACAGGGAGAACTGACTGGTGAACTTGACGTTGCATATTATATGCATCACAGCCGCTAGTCCTGTTTTTATTTTTTGAGTGTATATCTAAAAAATTGTTTTTCCATAGGTACCCTACTGTAAGACAAAGTGGGAAATTCACGCATTATGATAAATTAAGAAAGCCCTATTGTGCCTCATTGCACGTGTATTTAGACCTTATGGTCAACTGTGGTAGTAGATTATTTCCTTCACAAGTTATGAAGAAATGGATTGGCCCCCTTTTGCCTGAAGAAAATAACGCTTTTTATGGTCCTGAGCACTCGCTATAAATGTTGTTTATATGAAACTTTCTTTAACAAGAAACACCGAGCATTCTGCGCATCTGAGCAATGTAAGACACCTTCGACATTCCCTGGCAAAATGAACGCTACACACAAATTGTGACGTAATACGCATGGAGCTTAATACGAATGATTGATACTGACGTATTAGTGCAACAAGAGTTACTTGGTAAGTTTCCCCAGGCAGACGCACCGGACAAGTACTTGTTGCGTTTTGCTCCATAGTTTGGTCTTTCCGATAGAGGCATTAAATCGCATCTATTAAATAAGCAGGAGTTAATTAGGCTGTTTGGTGGCCGACACAGAAACCGCAGAAATACATTTGAAAATCATCCTGAGCCGCCACTGTATTTCATCTTTACGTGGCTTCCCGACACGCCGGAGTAACTTTGCACGTTGAGGCGGTTTAATCTACGTAAAATCTCTATATAGCATTAATTGCACATCTGTATTTTCATACAACGGTTCTTCTGTAAAGCTAATTATTACGAGTGGACGTTATCTAGCGGGGAATAGTTCCCGGGAAATGAAGCCAGGAGTGTCGGGTGTTTTCTCAGAGGCACCAAGACTTCGAGCACTCAGCGTGGACTCCTGTCCCCCAGAGAGCCATGATAGGAAGCACCTGAGACGCATGTCGATCGCAGGACGCTCCGGGGGAGCTGTCACCCTAAATCAGTACAGACCCCCAGCAATGACAAACGAGCAGAAAAGCGGTACATTTTCTGCTCGGGAACATATTAACACGTTTTCGCAGCGGGATCCGAGATGTGTCTCGGAGGCAGATCTGTTTCTTCCATGTCATATTACTTTGATTTCTGATTATCTAGTGGTTTGTCATGGCCCTGTGGAGCAAAGGGACTGCGATTTCACGCCTACGGAGCCGTCTAATGAGCCTACGGCGGGATAACCATCCGAAAACAATTACGGGGTGTAGAAATTCGGCTTTGTAGTGATGAACATTTAGGCAATGTAGCGTTGTGGATGAAGAGATTAAACGCCCGTACTCCCGTTAATACTCCATTCACAATATGGCATAGGCCTTTCAGCAGTCTATCCATCCATCTACCCATCCATCCTGGGATGTTACTAGTCACGTTTACCTGGGATTTTACTTTCTTTTTGTACTGGAAGATTGGCATCGGGGCTAAAATACTTGGGCTATAAGCTTAAAATACTCGGAAATAACGACGCCCATCCATCCATCCATCCATCCATTTATTTTCCATAACCTCTTGTCCTATTCAGGGTCCTGGGGTCCGCAGCCTATCCCAGAGGGAACGGGCGCAAACAGGACGGGGCCCCAACCCATGGCAAAGCACTGTCCTCTCATAAGTAAAAGCAAATGGCATTGGGTTTATAAAATACATTTTTAAAATAAATAAAGCTTGCAGCAACATACTATATGAAATTACAATTATCTGTAAATGCATACATTAGGTGCTTTACCCGAAGGACAGTGCCAAAGATTTATTAGGTGTCCAATTAGCGGAGATGTATGGCTTATTGAATGATAGCAGCTAATTCCCAGATTTTCTTTGCCAGTGGAGAAAACTTGTCAGCGCTGTAGATACATGCACATGGACCACATTGTTTAAAAATCTATTTAAATCTACGCGTTCAATCGTCTCAGAGCTTGGAAGAAAGTTGCACATGATATCTGTGCCTTAGGTCAACCCCCCCTTTAAAATCAACTTCGCCAAGAGAAACTATGCAAAACATTATTCTCTTTAGTTGGAACGATTTAAGAGCAATTAAAACTGTTATTACACTCCAAGATGCTGTACCAGATCAGTTTAAGATCTAAATGGTCAAGTATTTATGTATATTGATGGTTTTCCAGAAGGGGCCGGGCGCTGAACGTGTATGTCGTTATGGAAAAAATATCATTGGTTGTAAAGTTTAGAGAACTCAATACTGCAGCTAAGAGCACTGGCACTGGAAGACTCCATTATCTAGGGCTGTATCCTGCTCACACTCTGCCAGCAACTTAGGACGTTATCTTAAAATTGTTTAGTTAATGAGAGATGTGATCAGCATTTGCTTGGAAATGATTTTATGCTATTCATTTTTTCTGGGTACAAGAGATTTCGCATATTCACCGGACACTGGCGCGTTATTTTTGTTTTGACATTTAGTGAATCACTGAAACTGTTATTAAACCACTGGGGAAAATTTGTGGAAAGTGCCTGTCGGCTTGTTCACGCATCGCTTTTATTTGCCACTGGATACGTCATGATCCCTTAAAGTAGGCTGGGGTTTGTGGACCGTGGGCTCGCCGCACGGAGCTTCAGTCAGTGCCGAGTTGCCACAATATGCGAGAGAGAGGCGCCTCTGCAGCGGCGGCACCGGGACTGGGCGGCTTTTCCTGCGCATCCCCGTCAGCTCCTAGACCGGGAGCGTAAGGTGGCAACTGGAAGGTAGCAGGACCCTGAATACAAGCAAAATTTGCACTTACTGTAAGTGACTTACGTTCGTTGCGTCAATGGAGTCCCTCAGATACTTTTCTCATTTTGTGCCATCCTGCATTGTTTTATGTATGCAATACACAACAGTGTGTTTAATGCCTGCTGTCAGAAATTGCTACCGGAGACATTACTCCTGCAATTAATAGTTCACCGCCGCTTTTGTCCTGAGCGCCGTTTTCTGCTGAGTATGACTTTGGAGAACAAGCGTGGAAAGGGCTTATCTTTCACGGCGATGGGGACGGAGGACGACTCGCCAAGGAACGGGAGGAGACTCTCGGATCAATGGGCGGACAGTGTCGCGGTCCGACCTAGAACAACCGAGCGGCGCATCACCGTGCACAAGAGAATGGTGCTGGGCTTCGCCGTATCTGTGCTCACCCTCATCCTCCTTACTGTTATCGCCGTGCTGCTCAGCTTCAAGTTTGAGGACTGCTCGGGGGAGATCACCCCGCGGGCTCCAAATACATCTACCACCAAGTCCAACCAATCCCGGGACCCCCAGGTCAATCAGAGAGATGAGGAGGTCCAGCCGTGGCGACAGTCGAGGCTACCTGGCTCCTTGAGACCACGACACTACGACTTGAGGCTCTCTGTGTACATGGACAACTTCACCTTCTCTGGAGAAGTTCACATTGAGTTTGAGTGCGTAAACTCCAGCAAGTTCATCGTGCTGCACGTGGACGGGCTGCATGTGGAGAAGGTGGCCGTGTACTGGGACAGCAAGAAGCCGGGCGCCCTGCGCCTCCACCGCCAGTTTCACTATCCGTCCAACCAGCTGTATGTGATTGCTCTGTACAGGGAATTAAAACCGCTCAGAACCTACAAGATGAATATCACTTTCGAAGCTCAGATCGAAAATGAGCTGCTGGGGTTTTTCCGAAGCGCTTACGTTTTGCATGGAGAAAGAAGGTAAGGCAGAAATGTACACGTTTATTTATTCTGTAAATATTCTATTTATCCAAAATTGCAGGTTAAAACGTTGTCAATATAATAAAAAATAAACTATAGCCTAAAATAAGTAAAACAGGCTACTTTTATTAAAAGGACGTTCGTAATGAATACAGACATTGATTCTGGCAAAAATTATCAAAGATAGAATTGCATTGATTAACGCAACACGTGTACATACACATTGTAAGCCACTAAAGCAAAAATAATAAGGACGTGCGTGTTCAGCTGGTGACGATCCAGGCTGTAGCTCCCGTTGGCACTCGGACCCCGGCGATCGGGATCGCGGCCGCAGGTGGAGCCGCCGCGTCTGTAGCGCTCGTTATCCCCCTAATGGGACGGTATTGGAAATTGTTCCTAATTTTATTACGCATGTTTGAATACAATTAGTGTATTTGGGAGGTGAAAGACAGCTGTCACCACGCTGTCAAGAGAAATTCATTCAGGCAGAATGTGCTTGTCTGTCAGTCTTTAGGATGGGCAGCCTATTTAGTGAACCAGTCAGAGAGGCGTTACTTCACTGGACCGTATGGTGCACCACCTGTCTGCGATGCCTTTATATTTTACTGACCAGGGCCGTAAATTTCTACGCATTGAAAAGATCAGGGGCTAAGTGGAGTTTACATGGGACTTGACTTTTTTGTTTTTGAAGGAAGATTGGTATCGGGGCTAAAATACTCGGGCTTAAGGCTTAATAGGCTAAAGATACTAGGGGCCATAACCCCGTCCGATCGGACCTAACGACACCCATGATGCTGCCTAATATTCTGAAGCAATATCGGTCCTTGCCGATGTAGTGCTCTAGGCGAGCTTCACCGCCGGCGCCCCCCGTCCGAGGCGAAGTGAAATTCGCTGGCAAGTCGGCGCCCCCTAACAATTTGGCGCCCTAGGTAGCCGCCCATATAGGATTGACCGGCTCCGTTCGGAAAAATTAGCAGTAACCTGACGTGCGATTCTTATCCGTTTGTATGGTAAAATGTACGCCTGATATGTATTTTTCCTGCTTGGCATGGCGGAGTCTGTCCCGCAGCATTAATCCGGACCTCTCGGTGTTCCTGCTGGTGGATCCTCCTCGAGCCCCGGGCACTTTATTCCCTCCCTGCGCGCTCCCGGCTTCTACTCCAGTTTTCATATTTCACAATCACCTATCGATCCTGAAAAAAAAAAACTTTAGAAGCAGAAACCCAAACGCCCCTGGCACGTACGCCTTCTTCAGAAAATAATGAATATGCAATTTCATGTAGGCTATAATTTATTTTTTATTACAAAAGAGCACTTTGACATTAAGACGATTAATCTATGTAGGCCTATATTAAGTAGTCATTGTGGGCTATTTGTATGATTTTTAAGAATTCTGTATACATCCAGATTGTCTAAGTTAATAAACCACGAATTATGCTTTGAATTTTATAGGAAAATGATACGTCCAGATTTTTGGCTAAAGCGTAGGAATTTCTTATTAGGTTTATAACACACAATGAACAGCTAAATCGATTATCTCTCTAGGTGAACTAAGTTAAACTTTCACAGTGCCTAAGTCACTGACGCAGGGAGACGACACTGGACTGTGCTGACCTGTTTCCAAGGCACTAGTGTAGTGAGAATTTTATTTACTTATTTATTGATTTTTACTCATGGCCAGCGAAGGCGTTATGACAACTTTACAGATCGCACTAGGATTAAATGTAGAAGTATGCATACATATTGTGTTGATTGTCTTTTGTCAGGTGGCCTTTAAATGAAATGTATTATTATTATTATTTATCATTATCATTATTAATGCTTCGCGTGGCTGTTCGCAGGTTTCTCGCAGTAACGCAGTTCTCGCCGACTCACGCCAGAAAAGCCTTCCCCTGTTTCGATGAGCCCATCTATAAAGCCACCTTCAAAGTGAGCCTGAAGCACGAAAGCGCCTACGTGTCCCTTTCCAACATGCCGGTGGAGATGTCCGTGCTGGACGAGGACGGCTGGGTGACCAACTATTTCTCCAGGACGCCCCGGATGTCCACCTATTACCTGGCATGGGCAGTGTGCAACTTCACCTACAAGGAGACCTTCACCAAAAGCGGAGTGCTGGTGAGCGTTCGCGGGCCCTCAAGTGGAATGAAACTATCAATTATGTAGGATGCTGGGCGTGTTTATCGTAATATCTGTTTGCTTATTGGCATGTATTTTACACCGACAAGGCATCTTCAAATCAGCCTTGCTCTAAACGAGTTAATGAATTTTAAGGTGACCATATTTTACTTTGCAAAAATGAGGGAACGGGCAGGCAGGCGTCAATGCAGCGCAGATGTGCACACAGCAAATGTCAACAAAAAGAGGACAAGTCTGGGAAGAAGAGGGCGTATGCTCAGCCCAGCTCATAGGGGGCGTTCCAAACTTTAGCTCTTGTTATTTAAAGGTCTTCTCAAAGTTGGCAGAGAGCGTTCTTACTGTAACATTAACGGAACCTTATTTCCACATTGTACATGTTAACAAAGGGCATGTTCGTGTTAGCACATTATTATTAATGATTAATGTGGAAATATTATTTAATAATAAAACTATTATTTTATGTAAGTGCTATAGTGTGTACTGTAAAGGCACCTTATAGTGACATAACCTGACAGTGTTACACACTGCTGTACCATGCCCTTCCTTTGTGTTTATATTATTATCCTGAGCTGTAGTAGTAGCTGTAGTAGTGGTGTAACGTGACAGTGTTACACGGTGCTGTACCATGCCCTTCGTTTGTGTTTATATTATTATCCTGAGGTATGTGTTCTGGTAACATCAGGAAAACTCGACATTTTGAATTTTTTTATACTTTAATTGTATCATTCGGCAAATGTTCCTAGAGCGACAGATTGTTAGCTAGGCACTCTATACATTGGAGTACATTTCAGTATTTTACAGTTCTCAGTCCAGAAATGAAATGATTGCATTACTGCGTTACTTTTTATACTCAGTAACTTTAATAGCGGTTTTATTTTAATAGTGTTAAAATGTTTAAATTAGTGACACCATTTGTGTTATGAGTACATGACATGCCATGTTTCACGTTTGAAACCTTGACACCTTTTTTCCCCCGACAAATTTCACTTAGCGCATTAACACCTGTTTCCCCTGAACACAGTCTTGTCAGTGGCAGTGTCGATAGCGTCGATGGTGTTAGTGGTGTCGGTGGGCATGTCACTGGTGTACCAGTGGGTTAAACAGCCACATGGCCCTGGGCCAGACTCCTGCCACACATTGGGGCAGCAGTCTTTGAAGTCTTTCCTACAGTGATGCAGCAGCCTGTTCTGGTTCGGTACTCCGTGTTCTGGGCTCTGGGCCGAGTCCCCCTCATACACCTCATGTTCTCTGTACGCCTGACCCATGGACTCGGTCCGGCGTGTCGGAACAGCGCGTAGCTTCAGGCCTCGTCGGCAGTCAGCCGTGTCGCGGGCATCGCTGGAACACCCGCATCTCCTCGCTCGGACGCGCACCCCCGACATCCCCTCGGAGCTCATGACCACCCAGCCAGTCGGTGAGCAGATCGGCTAATTGACCTTGACAAAGCCGCGCTCTGACTGCCGGGTTACGCCCAGCTTCGTCAGTCAGGTGACTAGCGGGGCTCCCATATTGCCAGCCATCAGCCGTTAAATAATCCTACAGCTTCTATTGTCCCCCCCCCCCCACAGCAGGCATTTACCCACAAAATTACGGGTTAAAGTTTATTTCTGGCTATGGGCTAGCCCCCCCCTCGGACCTCCCACATCCCAGCCAGGCTCTCTGACCCCCTTTCCCTGTTCGATGGTCCATCGTTAACCTCCTGCTCTTAATATGCTCACAGCTTCCTTTCTTTGCAATCATCTGCCCTTGTCAGATTTTTACAGTAAGACACACTGGGCCCTTCAGATATCCAGAAATGATTAGGTGTGTCGTATTTTTCCTGTTGCTTTGCAGCTCTTTATTCCACAGCACGTTTACCAGCAGATGAATTAATCCTTTGGCCACTGTAGCTGTTATAAGACTGTGAGAGTCAGTCTGGAGGCTGTTCCTGGCTGGCTGGACATTAATCTGCTGGCATGTGATCGCTCAGGCCTATGTATGGCACAGTGAGAATTTGGATGGATGGATGTGCTGGTGCGTGATGGGGGGGTTTGTTGGGGTCTGCGAAGGTCTCTGCAGTGGTCTGTACCGCAGATGGGGCAGAGTGAGCCATTTCCATGACGATCTAAGTGATAGAGCACTGGGGAGAGTGCTGCTTAAAAAGCACAATCAAGCGAGACGTGGAGGGATGAATAAATAAGTGCAAAGAAACGGAAAGTAACGCTCCGCTCTCCCTGTTTCTGCTCCCTCATGCTCTCCCTGTTTCTGCTCCCTCATGCCCTCCCTGTTTCTGCTCTCTCATGCTCTCCCTGTTTCTGCTCCCTCATGCCCTCCCTGTTTCTGCTCTCTCATGCTCTCCCTGTTTCTGCTCC